ATACCATTTTCATAAGATTTACAAATTATGTGATGTTATATATTAATTGTAGGAACATCATATATGGTAAAATGATGGAGAACTGTGAGAAAAAATCATCATTAATAAATGTAATTAGAGTAACAGTTACTTTTCACGTAAGTGAAAACACAAGAGACAGAAATTCAGCTAAATTTGTAATATTTTCTTCCTTTTTTTTTTTTCTTTTTGTTACTGGGGATTAAACCCAGGGGTGCTTTACCACTAAGATACATTCCCATTTCTTTTTATTTTGAGACAGGGTTTCACTCGGTCTCTGAGGGTCTTGCTAAATTGCTGAGACTAGCTTGGAACTTGCAATCCTCCTGCCTCAGCCTCCTGACTTGCTGGGATTACAAGTGTGTGCCACTGTGTTCAGGTAATATTTCTTAAAAGAAAGGTCCCAAGCAAATATAGTAAAATGTTAAGACTCAACAAATATAAATGTTAGGTATAGGGTATTTTAAAATTTATTCTCTTTATTTTTAGCACTTTTAAATTATTTGATAATGTTAAAAAGACAACCCAATAAACATCTTAGTCTCCTCCACTAAGCAAATGTGAACCCAAAGGTATTTTAAATCCAAGACAAATTGTATCACCACAGTAACCACTAAGCATTTATTGAATACCAGTTATAGCTATACATTTTTATTAACTAGTAAATAACATCCTGAGTTAATTGTTTCAGATGTCACTGTTGATCATATGCTATCTTCTTTCAGACTAAAATATTACTAATCTTTGTAAATGAATATGTGCTTTGACATGATGTTTTAGAAATTGGCATGGGTTTAAATTGGCCAGTTCTGCTTTCTGGGGGAAGATAGTTAATCTGGGCAAAATAATTGACTTTCCCTTTTCCTAAATTAACTGCCATATATGGTAATTAAAGCAGAAACATTCTTAAAAATATATATTACAAATATTAAAAATATATATTAAAAATAAGCTAAACTATATATTTTCTCCTGTCTACGGTGGGAGATTCTCTGCATTACCCAGGCTTTGGAAAGGCTTCTAAGAGAAATGAAGAAAATTAATGGATCTGTTGTACCAAGATTTATGAGACCCTGCAGAAGGTTTGAAACAGAATAGGAGGAGCTACAGAGGGGCTAAAGCAATTGTGTTGGCTGAGTATTCTGTTCTGTCTCATATCAAGTCAAAGGCATTCTAACTTGTTGATGGTGGTTCAGACCATGTGTGCTAACATTAAAACCTACAACTAAAATAGAAATTACTTAAAATGGTCCTCTTATTTTAAGTGATACACTCTGATATTTTCTATTCTAATATCATATATATCAGTGACCAAAAAGGCCTACGTAATCCCCTTTATTGATTTCACAATCCCCAAAGATTCGTAAATCAGAAAGTTGTTCATAAATTCTTTGTGACTCTTGTGCTCAAAAGTCCTGGGTTACATTAATATACCAAACTTACTTAGAAACCTTATATTACTGTATGCCTAGAGAACTTTTTTCCTACAGAAAATTCCTATCAATGGAAAATATTATTTTTAAATCATTAATAAAACATCACCAAGTAAGAGAACATTAAAACACATTTTTATTACTTAAATATTTCATCTTTTCCTATCCCCAGGTTTACCTTACTCTAGTAAGACAGGAAAACACATGTCAAATGGCGATGTTTGCTATCTAGAAAAGAGTAAAAATGACTAAGACACAATGTCATGGGAAATATTTTACTTATAAATGGAGTAACAAGGGACTAAATCCAGAATATTTAAAAAGAACTTTGAAAAGAAGAGAGGATGGGGCAATAAGAAGATAAACATTTTTGATTGATAAAGCTCTTAGCTTCATACTTTCAAAGAACCATCGATAGATCTGTAGGTAATCCATTGCTCATCCTTAGAGAAAGCAACATAGTCAAGCTATACTTCATTGATTCCTTATGGCTAAAGTTCCCTCACAATATCCCAGCCTCCAATTTATTTTAGCTAAAATATAGATAAATAAATGGTGAATATTTAATAAATAAATATTTCACCAAATAACTCAAGCCCTGCCACTGAGCAGATACCCGGAGCTATACCTGATACATTATTTGCTGAACTTACTTCTCTGAATATATCCAGTGGATTCCAATGATTTAGCATTTACCCAAATTCTCACAATTATTTTATGTATAAAAATATCTCAATCCTTATCTGTGATTCAACTTGAACATTATGAGACATAGGTACAAGGTCCTAAAGATCAGATATTCTGAAGTTGACACTGATTCAAGAACACAGGGTTAACGGGGTAAGCAAAACATGAACAGAGTTATAATCATACCTATCTTACATACTTTTATTATGTAGATTGTGTTATTTTACCTCAATCAAAATTATAGCCTAATGTTATGATCATTGTGTGGTTCTATTACAGGTTTAATAGCATCGGCAATAGAACAATACAAAGCAATCAGGTTTCTGGATGAATTATTACATTGAACTTTTCATTGTTTAAAAATGTGATTGTGTTTTATAAAATTTTTTGCCAAATACAGAATTATCATTCAGTTCTATTAATGGTTCAGAACTCTCCTTGGCTACCAATGTTCTAACTTTTGAAAAGACACATTAATATTGTTTCTGGCTCAAAAATCAATATGAGGATGAATTATTTTTCTGGTCTGTAATATATCTATGAAGTTTGAGTCTGGTAAACTTGACTGTTCATTGGAATCACCTGAGAAACTTTAAAAAGTACAACCTGTTACCTACCCCCAGATCTTATTAATTAGTACAGGAAATGGCTTAGGGTGGGGTCTTTCAAAAGCTCTGCAGTTAAGTTTAATAAACACTGATCTAAACTCTACATATTCAATGAGAGGTCTGAGAATCAGGAGGGAACACTTCACCTGGGAACTTGTTAGAATGGCAGATGCTTTAAATGTTCTCCAGCCCTACTCTATGAGATCCACCTTTTCAGGGTCTCTGATTTAACCAACCTAGAATCCTTAATATATTTATATATATATATATATATATAAATTTATAAAATTCATAAATATATATTTTTATATTAATGCATTATATATGTATATGTATATGTGTGCATATTGGAAGATTTATTTTGTATCATCGTTTGGACAAGTCAGTCCATGTTTGGTTGACTCCATTGGTTTGGATCTGTGTTGAGACAGTACATTATGGTAGGAGTGCATGTGGGGGAAATCCTATTAACCTCATGACCAGGAGAGAGAAAAAGAGAGAGAAAGAGAAAGGAGAGAGAGAGAGAGAGAGAGAGAGAGAGAGAGAGAGAGAGAGAGAGAGAGAGGAAGAGAAAGAGGAGGGGAGTGGGTGGGATGACACAATGCCTTCCCGCTGCCTAGAATTTCCTTTTCCTTTTTCCTTTCTCATTGGGACTCTTTCCATCATTTAAGACTTAGGCAAAATATCACTGTCTTTTCTGAAGCATGTCCAAGAAACAATGCATCTCTACTTTAAAATTCTATTGTCATTATAATCACTTCCACAAAATTTATCACATTGCTTGTTTCTATTAATACACATATAGTATCTCTCCCCCAACTAAATTATAAGGATTTTAAATGAGGAATTATGCCATGTTCCTTTTCTATCCTAATCTAATACTTTAAGTGAATTACATATTGTTTAAATGTATATGGTAAACAAAAATAAATCTTCATCAATCTCACAAGATTACTTATTTGAAACTAGCCCATCATTAACTTTTCCCCACAATGGACCCTCATCATTATTCGCCTCACACATTTAGGGAGTCACAATCAGCTGTGCCTATTTTCTTACTGCTGCCCTATCAGGCTGATGATAAAACCACTTAAAATAGCACAGAAACCCTACAGAAGAAAATCCTGCTTATTAGTCCTTAACACGCCAACCCTAGACTTCTCACATTCTTTAGTTCCAAGCCTGTCTTATTTACTATTACATCTTAGTGTTTCACACATGCTGCCCTTATAAATGAATTATAAATAGTATTTCAACAAGCTATGAAAGAACAAAATGTTCTAAAGTATACTATAAGCTCATGATAACATTTGGAAATATGATTTTTCATGAGTAGTTCCTATATATACTTTCTTGATATTTTTATATTTTGACATCATACAAATAATGCATAGTCATTGTAGAAAATACAGGTTCAGTAAAACGAAAAATATATGCATCTGAAATCCCTAAAATGGCTTAACCTAAGCATAACTACTGTGAACAATAGTTGCACGTCTGTTCAGATAATCAATTTAAATATATAAACATATATGCTAAGTATATAGATTTTTAAGCAAAGATCACACTCTACGGCTACATGGCCTACTTTTATTCAGTTAAGTATATATGAAAACATAACTTCAGCAAGCAAATAAATTGATAAAAAATTAATTTCTGTGCCAGGTGTGGCAGTGCACACCTGTAATCCCAGTGGTTTGGGAGGCTGAGACAGGAGGATGGCGAGTTCAAAGCCAGCCTCAGGAATGGTGAGGTGATTAGCAACTTAGTGAGACCCTGACTCTAATAAAATACAAGATAGGGCTGGGGATATGGCTCCGTGGTTGAGTGCACCTGAGTTAAATCCCCAGTACCAAAAAAAAAAGAATTAATTTCTGATGGTTGCATTAATGATATCAAATTTATATAATCACCTATCTTTGGATGAGAAAACTATTTACATTTGGGGGTAATTACAAACAATGACATCATGAATATTACCCATCATAAATATATTTTTTCTAACAGTTCTTTAATAAAAATCAGGAAGTAGGATTGCTCATTTCAAAATTTATACATAATTTTAGGGCCTGTGATTTTAAAAATGGGCCTTCAGAAGTTTTCACTTTATAGCCTTTCACTAGGCATTGAGTTGTCTAAAATTTAATCATTTAATCAACTAGCTATATTATGTATGTATAACATTTTTTACAATCATGAACAAGTAGTATATAATATAATGAATGAATAATTGATGCATTTGGAAAATACTCACATTCTTTTTGAGGGCAAGTTTCATTTTGAAGAGACCAGAATTCATAATATGATATCTCATGTTTGAATATGGATGTAAGAATGCCATCAAGCTCTTCGATGTCATTCTGTTTTCAAATGAAAAAGAAATTTTTCATTAGTTGAATTATATACACAGAATCTCAGCACAATATAGTTAAAATTTATTAGCTAGCATAAATAGTGAGTAGTGATAACAGTAATATATTACAGTAATTTAGTAACAGTGATAACTTGAAAACTGATTTAAAAATAATGTGAAACATGGCTTGCCTAAAAAGCAATTCTTAATGTAATAGAAAAGCTGATATAGGAAATAAAAGTGTTTACTTTTGGATAAGACACTATATTTAGATACGAATTTTGAAACAGCATTACAACAGGTCAACGATAGCACTGAAATTTTTCCAATAATAAATTCTGATAAAATATATTTTTCATTAAATAGTAAAATGATGAGTCTTATTAAACTTAAGGATCAGACATGGGATGGTCTTACTAGAGTATATTATTTCTGTGTCTAGGTAAGTTACAACATTCATCTCTGACTTCTTGCTTGCCATGAGTAACTACCTATTTGGTAGAAGTTATGCAGTATTCGGGTGTTCTGCTATCAATGAAATAACCTGTTACGAAGACCAGCATTCTTTCAAAATTGGGTTGTATCACAAATGAATGTGAAATATCTCATGTGCATGTATTATAAATGAAGAAGTGGATAAAGGTAATTAAAAAACAGAAAGCTAACATTTCTATACTTCACCAAAAGGGCTAAAATGAGGATACCAGGAGTCTATGGTAAATTATGCTATATAATACTGACAGCAACTACTAAAAAAGATGTACCAAAAGTACCAGTGATGAATTAAAATGGAGTAGGTATTTTTTTTAAGTTTAAGTAGCATACAAGAAGGAAAGAAAACGGAGACATTAATACAGAGGGAAAAATAAAATAAACAAAATAGTAACTAAAACTCTAATATATCATTTTTACATTAAATGTAAATGGTCTGCATAGATGAAGAAAAAACCCAGAGTGATAGAGTAGATTAAAAACCATGACCTAAATATATTATTTTTTTTTAAGAAACTCACTTTACATTAGCAAGGCAAAAATGTTGAAAATAAAAAGATTTCCAAAAATATATATTGTGCAAGTATTACAAAGGAAAGCAAAAGTGGCTGTTTTAACGTGAAGTAGAGTAGATATCAGAGCAAAGAAATTTATAGGAGACAGAAAGGGACATAATACAATAATAAGACATTCAATCCATCTAGAAAAACGTAATACAAGTAGGTGGCAAAGAACAAAACTACGAATTATGTGCAGACAAATTGAAAGGACCGAGAAGAGAAACAGTCAAATTTAAAATGACAAGCTGGAAACTTGAATACTCCTCTTTCAATGACTGATAAATTAGACAGAAAATTATCAAGAACATGAAAAATCTCCAATACACACCTAATGATCTAACCAATCAGCATCTAATTAACATACATTGACCACTTGTTCAACAACTGCAGAATACCTCAATCATTTCAAGGGCCCATGAAACTAATACCACCTTGGAGCATATCCTAGGACATAACACAAACACTAACAAATTTTAAATGATTTAAATCATAGTGTACTTTCTTAGCACATGAAAGAAAATTAGAAACCCATAACAGAAAGATACTAGGAAAGTTTCCATATATTTAGAAAATAAAGAACAGATTCATAGTAATCTATAAGTCAAAGATGAAGTCCGAACTGGATGATTTTGTATCCTGCTACATTGCTGAATTTGTTTATCAGATATGGAAGTCTTCTGGTGGAGTCAATAGGGAAGTCTAAGTACAAGATCCGTATCATCTACCAATAGAGATGATTTAACTTCTTCCTTTCATATTTGCATGTCTTTTATTTCTCATCTTGCCTAATTGTTCTCACTACAATTTCAAGCACTATGTTAAATAGAAATGACGAGAGTAGATATTCTTGTCTTGTTCCTGAGTTTCGAGGACATGCTTTCAGTTTTTCCTCATTTAGTATGATATTAGCTTTCGTTTGCCACACACAGCCTTTATATTGCAGTCAGTTCCTCCTATTCCTACAATCTTGAGGGGTTCTATCATGAAGTATTGTTGAAGTCTGTCAAAGGCTTTTTCTGTATTTATTGAGATGATCATGTGATTTTTGTCCTTGACTCTATTTATGTCCAACAATCAATAGTTGGACAAATGAATTGTGAATGTTGAACTATACTTGCATCTAGGGATGGAATCAACTTGATTATGATGAATAATATTTTTAATGTGTCCCTGAATTCAATTTCCAAGTACTTTGTTAAAGATTTTTGCATGTACACTCACAATAGCCTCAAAAAAATGAAGTGCCTTGGTATAAATCGAACAAAGGAGGTAAGATTCCTACAAGGAAAGTTATAGAACACTGAAGAAGGAAATGGAAGAAAACACTAGGAGATGGAAAGATCTCCATGTACATGGATAGGCAAAGGATATATAGTTAAAATGGCCATAATAACAAAAGCAATCTACAGATTCAATGCAATTCCCATCCAAATACCAATGACATTCTTCAGAAACAATTCTAGAGACAAAACAATCCTAAAATTTATGTGGAATAACAAAGACCCAGAGTAGCTGAAACAATTCTGAACAAAAGGAGCAATGCTGGGGACAACCCAATGCTCAATTTCAAAAATGGGGCCATAGTAACAAAAGCAGCAGAGACTGGCATAAAAACACATGTACACCAGTGGAAGGGAAGTAAAGACTCAGACACAAACCACATAGATACAGCAATACGATTCTTGATAAAGGTGCCAAGACCAAAAACTTTGGATAAAATACAATGTCTTCAACAAATGTTATATACGGATATCTCTATATAGAAGAATGAGGCTAGATCTCTATTTCACTCTGCAGGAAAATCAACTCAAAATGGATGAAAGACCTAGGAATTGGTCCAGAAATCTTGAAACTTCTAGAAGAAAACATGGTTAGCATTCCAACCTGTAGGCACAGGTAACCCCTTCCTCAATAGGACTGCTAAAACACTGAACTAATACCAATAATTAATGAATGGGATGACATCAAATTTAAAAAGCTTCAAGCAAAGGAAACAATTAACTGTGAGAAAAGAGAGCCTACAGAATTGGAGAAAATGTTTGCCAGATACTTTCCCAATGAAGGATTAGTATTCAGAATATTTAAAGAACCCACCAAACTCAACATCAAAGAGTAAATAACAATCAATAGTTGGACAAATGAATTGAAATTCTATCTCACTTCAGTCAGAATGACAGTCATCAAAAATAAAATAATAGTAAATGCTGGTAATGATGGACTGGAGAAAGGAACACCTATCCACTGTTGTAAGGACGTAAATCATTACAACCACTGTGGAAACCAGAATGTCTCTGAAAATATGAAAAATGATATTATTGTATAATCCATTCATACCATTCCTCCGTATTTATCTAAAGGAATTAAAACCAGAATACTTTAGGAGCATACATATCCATGTTTGTCACAGCATAATTCACAATATCCAAGTAATGGAACAAATCCAGGTGACTGTCAGCAGATGAATGCATAAATACAATGTGATATGCTTGTGCAATGGAGTTTAATTCAGCCATAAAGAAGAACAAAATTATGTCATTTCCAGAAAAATGAATAGAACTGGAGAACAGCAAGTTAAGTGAAATGGCCAGACCCAGTGTCATATATTTTCTCTGATATGTGGAAGCCAGTGGTAGAAAAAAAAAGTAGTGTGTGTCTCATAGAAGTAAAAGGGAATCCATTAGGGTAAAAGAAGAGGGCCAGGGGTGGAAGGAGCAGAGAGTAAGGGAAAGTACTGAGCAGTTAAAATTGATTAAATTATGTTACACTTATGTATTAATATGCCACAATGAAATCCACTATTCAGTATAATTAATATGCACCAGTAAAAATCTAAATAACAGAACCACTGAATGAAAGTCAAGAAACTGAAAGTATAAAACAATAGAGAAAAATCAATGTAACAAAGAAATGATTCTTTTAAAAGATCAACAAAATTGACAAACATCTAGCAAGACTGACAAATAAGGGCTGGGGATATAGCTCAGTTGGTAGAGTGCTTGCCTCACATGCACAAGGCCATGGGTTCAATCCCCAGCACCACTCCCACCCACCCACCCCCAAAAAATGACAAAGAAAAAAATACATATGACGAATTTCACAAATGAAACATAAGCTATCACTACAGACCCTACATATATCAAAAGCACAATAGGGGAATCCTAAAAACAATCCTACATTCATAAATTTTGACAATACTCATGAAACGAACGAAATTCTTTAAAAACACAAGCAACAATAACATATAATTCTTCTCTTTCAACTATCTGTGAATGTATAATTGTCTAAAAATTGAAAATTCAATTAAGTACAAATAATCCCCCAAAATATTAATTATAAAGAAGCTGAATTCCTTGAGATGAATAGATTTATATTTATGAACAGATGAATAGATGTATAGAGCAGTAGCCCTTCAAACTCAAGATCATTCTTTTTTTGAAAGAGGGATAGCAACATAGTTTGGGATGACAGCACTGAGAGACTGTTGGGAAGAGGACATTATGGCAACGCCATACACTGTGCACAATGAGGGTGCTTTGATCATTGACATGGTGTGAAAGGTCACATGGCATTAGCTTTTTGATAAGTCTATGCAACAAAGAGAGGCAGAATGTTTGAGTAGTAGCAATAATTGCCATGTGTTGAGCATTAATAATGTGCTAGGCTTTTTATGATTTATCTCTAATTTGTGTAACATTATGCAAGGTAGAACACTTTTAAATGTCTACTTTTATAGATGTGAAAATCAGGAGACCAAAAAAATTTTGGTCACACCCAAAATTATAGAGCAAATAAATGGAAGAATAAGGATTTCTAACTTAGGACTTTACCCTCTAAACACATTATATTTGATATACTACATTTAAACCATGGGGAAAGAGTGAATATGAAATATTATTTGAGTAAAGAATAAATCACAGTCCTCTGGTATTAAGATGATCACTGTAGTTCCAAATAT